GGGGGGGGGAGAGGGAGGGGGATGATTGTAAGTTCTATTGCTTTTATCCGTGCTCTATCTTGACGTCCAAGGCAGGATTTGTAACTGTCTGGCGGTGGATTACGTGGAGTGACTACTGTGTGTCGTGTGGTGGGTGGCCTTCGTGTGTTCGTGTCTTTTGTGCATTCGTGTCTTTTGTGCATTCGAGTCTTTTATGGATTCCTGTCTTTTGTGCATGGTGTCGATGCTCAAGCTCACGAATCCATTTGCCATACGTACACATAAAGCATATGGATGTGTATGTGCGTTTCGTAGTTTATGTCGCGTCTGACAGAATGCCTTTACGACAGTCAGCCCATCGCCCCAGCTAGCATGGCAATGCGATGGATCATCCCGTGTAATCATGTTGGTACCTCTATATTACCATGCGGTGCAGGTAGATTGGTGAGTGGGTGAGTGTATTGTTGGTCGATAGATTAGTCGACTGGTTAGCGCTGGTCTCGGTCGTGCACAGTGGATTCGTGTTTTTATGATGTAGTCAGAGAACCAGTAAATTTGTTTGGTTCTTCACCGCCACACACACAAATGCACGCTCGAACACGTCCACAGACCAGGCCCTCATGCACTTCGCAAACAAGAGACCACGACACCACATAAAAGCACATGTACCCGACGAAACTAACACGCAAGGTGACACGTATGTCCTCGGTTGGCGGGGCGGCTATTGGCCCTTACCACGGAGGACAACCACGTGAGCGCGCCTTGATTGGGCGCCGTGTGCCCCTTATGTCACGTCACGCATATTCTACTCAGACGTATTTGGCAAGCCAGGCAAACTATTTACGGCCTCTTCAAGTCCCAAATGAAGTTGTCCGTATCGCATGCTATGCCTTGCACCACGTTGGCACCATTGTGGTGGCTCGAAAGGAAGACGCCAAGGCACTGGCCTGCAAACAGAGTGGGATAAACACAGCTACAGCTGAGGGTGCCGTGAATCCCCCAAATGAAGCGCACCTACCTGAGTGTCTGGCTTTCACGAGATAACCACCATCCTTTTCTTCCAAGAAGGCCCACTCGAAGTTGGGCGTATCGCATGCTCTGCCTTGCACCACGTTGGCACCATTCAGCTGATCCAAATTGAGGACGCCCAGGCACTGGTTGGAGTGCTGAGCGATGAGGTGATAGTACTCAGTCGAACCCGGCACTTGCTTAATCTTCCACTTGAAGTTAGTTGTATCGCATGCTTTGCCTTGCACCACGTTGCCACCATTCAGCTGGTCCCAATTGAGGACGCCCAGGCACTGCTGGGAGTGACGGGCTTCAAGGAGCCACCAGCCGACCTCCAGGTCGGCAGGGAGTAGCATGCGATGCGTGACATCTGTGGGAGAGCAGAGCCAGTAACAACCTGAGTGATTAACCGTCCCTCGCCCACCCACTATCACCCACCTGTTGCGTCACTGACACCAGACTGCTTCACATCGCCGACACCTCCTCTTATGGTCTGAAGCGTCCAGCCATGACAATTACGGTTGGCTTCTGCTCCCCCGCATCCCTTCGCTCGCCTCACCAACCCCATCACGGCAGAGCAGCGCCAGGAGGAGCAGGGCAAGGGCGGCGGCGTACGTCATGCTGAAGGGCGAGACAGCGATGCACTAGATTGAGTTCGGGAAGTGAGGAAGGCGAGATCGAGGAGATGTGGAGCTTCCTTTTTTTCTTTCAATCCCTTTCCGTAACAGCTTCTCTCTCCTCGTTTCACGCAGTCATACCCTAACATATCCGCGCGTACTGTCTGAGGCAGGCTGTCTCTCCGAGAGCACAGTGATCAGATCACATGCTCTCTCGGTGGAGCCTGGTATTGCCGATTTATTGGGTGGAGATCTATTGGCTTCTCGGCGTCATCACAACGCCCTCCCTCCCCCGCCCCAACGCCGCTTCGACTTCATCTGTGAGGCGAATGACGGTCATATCAGCGTTTTCATCCTCCTTTCACGGAGCCATCGAGAGATCCGCGCAACGCCCCGACCACCGGCGCATCCCACCGCCCCTCTATTCATCGGCCCACCCCACAGCTCCGCCAACTCCTCCCAAACGTCGGGCCGGCAAGAAGCGTGTGGATGAGTGGCTGGTCCAGGCCGGGCTGGCCGAGACCCGTTCCAAAGCCCAGGGGCTGGTGATGCTTGACCGTGTTTTTATCAACGACACGCGAGTGGGCAAGGCCGGGGAGCTCTTGCGAGAGGAGGACGTTCGATGGCTGCGTGTGGCTGGCGGCCCCAAGTATGTGAGTCGGGGAGGGGAGAAGCTCGAGGGGTTTATGGACGCGTGGGGGATCTCAAGGTTGGACGGCAAGCGGGTGCTCGATGTGGGCGCGTCCACGGGTGGCTTCTCTGACTGTTGCCTGCAGCGGTAGGTATCAAGGCATACATAGGGGGGCGGTCTAGGATGAAGCTGTGTATCATACGACGAGCTGGTCTGTCTGTCTGTCTGTCTTTCTGCAAGTGCAGGGGTGCGGCTCATGTGACTTGTGTTGACGTGGGACGGGCGCAGCTCGACCCCAAGATCACCAGCGACCCACGTGTCGTGAACTTGGAACGAATGAACGCCAAGTAAGTAAAAGTAAGAGAGTCCGCCACCCCGTCCGTGACCGCTGGCGCATGAGTGTTGTTTGTATGTCCTGCCTGCAGGTACCTTAACTCTAGCATGTTGCCCCATGACGATTACGATGTCATCGTGATGGACCTGTCATTCATTTCTCTCACCAAAGGCACGCAGGCAGCCACCCGCACAACGCAGCTAGTCTCTGTCACACATATATGTTTCTATTTAGATATATATATTGTGTCTACGTATTGGTGCAGTTTTGCCCGCCGTATGGCCTCTGCTCAAGACGGCTGTCGATAATAATGTTGATCCACCATTATCGGGGCTGTTGATAGCGCTGATCAAGCCCCAGTTCGAGTGCAGGAAGGAGGAGGCGCGACGGTATAGAGGAATCATTCGTGACGGGGCCATCCATCGCCGCGTTTGTGAAGAAATCACGTCTTTCTGTGCGAGGGAACTGAGTGGCAGTGAGTTGATGGGATTGGTCGAGTCCCCTATAAAGGGTGGCGAGGGCAACAGGGAGTACTTGCTGGGACTGAGACGAAATCCTGATTGATCTACATCGATGCAAACTGCAGTTACGCATGCTCCCCCTCTGCAAACACACACATGCGGTACCCGTCCAACCACACCCATCCAAGATGAGTCACATAGAGGTAGGCGTTGCATGGGTCCGTTGAAAACGCGCACACGCACGCACTCACGCTCATACGATTAACCCGTGTGTAGGAGCAGTTCGCAACCTTCCTAAACGGACTTATTCTCAACGGACTTTTGAGTACGGCTTTCCTTCATCAGACCCTGTAGCAATGAGTGAGTCAACGAATGACCTGGTTTTATATCTCCGTGAGTCACTTTCACGTGTCTCACACCATCACGTATTTTACGTATCCATACCGTTGGATGGCAGACGGGACACATCTGAGTCGCAAGCAAATGTGTCACTTCAAGGCAATTGCAATTGTATCAAACCACCGTCGATGCTTACATACACAGGAGACACACCAATTAATTAATCTGCACGAGAAAAGTAACTCCTGTCCTCACCCATGGCATCATGATTTGTTTGCAGTCAATGAGTGTTGTTCATTGGCAAAGGGCATCAAAGCCCGTTCTGTGTGTCCTTTCTCCTCGCCTGCACAACCCAGGTGGTTCATGTGTCTCTCCGGTGTAAGCTGTGTCTTCCTTCTGCCATCCATTTGTTCTGTGCTTCTTTCTCAGACCCATGCCTGTCGGAACGCGCCCGACTTCATGCGCTGTTCGGTCGTTCGTTAACCTCACGGGGACCTTGCCCCCCGGCCCCCCGAAGGGGTACGCAAGAACGAGTCTGTGTGGTGCAGGCTGTCTACCCACCCATCCCTATGGTCCACCACAAAAGGAAAGGCACTGGCACCGGCCGACATGCAGATGACAATAGAGGGCACAGATGACGAACACTTCCCCTAGCCACATACACAAGAACGAGCGATATCGCCCGACAGCATGAAGCCCTGGCAAGTGTACAGAAGCCAGAGGAAGCAAGCGAAACATGGAAGCCCACTGAGCCATCCAACGCAACAAACAACAATCAGGTGAACACACCACCATGTACACGCGGAAAACAACAGAAGCGCCCCACCCATCCACCCACAGCAGCCAACCAATAGGCAGACAGAGAGAAAGGGAGAGAGGCCAGGCGGGCAACAAAGCAGGCCAGCCTCAGGAGAGGAACGTGCAGGCTAATGTCTGTTGCTGTGTCACTGGCAAGATGTGAGCCTCCTTCTCACTAGCTGTGGATGCTGAGTGTGACCATAGGTGCCTAGGAATGCACGCCCGCCCCATCACGCACGACTGATGCGCTGAATTTAATGAGGTTTAGGGCAGCTGTGTATCGACTGACTGGTCTCACCGTGGTTGTGAGGTGCTGCTTCCGTTTCCCCGCCTCGTTGACGATTCAGACTCCAGATCAGTTGTAGTTTGGTCGCTTTTTCTTCCGTGAATGCCAATTCCGACTCCCTGTAGATGTTCCCCGGAGCCGCTGCGTCGGTTGTTTGCCTCTTGTGTGCGTTGTCAGCTGTTCAAGTGCAACGAGTTGCGGGGTTCGCGTCGCCTTGGCCTGTTGGCAGAAACCTCGTGGGACAAAGCAGGGCGACTTCTTCGGCGGCGCACCGACAGCCGACACGCCTGGTGGGCTGATGGGAAGATGCAGCCATCTGGCACAAGTGATGTGCACCTCTCTCTTTGTGTGTCTGTGTCCGGTGTGTTCGTCAGTGGTCAGCAGGCGGCAAGTCAGTGGAAGATCAACAGCTGGTACACAGAAACACTCTGGCACCAGGAGGGGACGGCTGATCACCTGGGCTGTGTGTGTGAGTGAGTGCAGGACACGGTTATCGCCGCTCGCAAGAAAGAGCCCGACGAGGACTTAGCTGACATTGATGAAAGCCAAAAGTGGTTCCAGGAGACATTGATAGAAGTCAGAAACTTCAGGAAGCCGTCCAAATTCGTCCTCACTCAGTATCGGCCTTACTTAAGAGGAGGAGGTCGCAAGGCGCCAGAAGGAGCGGGAGAGGCTGATTGCCAAACGTGAGTGATCCCGAACTCGACCAAGGCTGGCTGGGCACAGAGGGATTAACGCATCGTTTCATGGATTTCTGGTTGACCCTTTTGCCATCAGACGAGGAATGGCTGCAGAAGGTCCGAGAGCACGGCCTCCCTCACGGTACGCACATGAACCGGCTGGCAGCTGGGCAACGGCACGCGAACATTCGTCTCTTTTGTGTGTGTGCGTACGTTTTGCGTGCTTCATCAGCAGAGGAGCCCAAGGCCGAGCCAGAAACAGTCGAGTCGCTCCGCAAGAGAGTGCGGGAGTTGGAGGAGACCGTTCGTTCGATGGAGCGGGCCCAGAGGGAGCTAGCGGTGTGGGAGAGGAGCTGGCTGGGCCGGTACTACAGGGGGAGGCTGAAAATTGGCTATGCCTTGATGGCCCCCCTCTACAGGCTTCTTTTACGGTTGCGCGGGGATGGAGGGGGGGAGAGAGGCGATGCTCGCTGATCGTCGAAGTGGCGTCATGAGGGGCTGACGATATAATGGGGGAGTGGTTGGCGGTGTACAGTGGGGATTTTGTGACGTGCATCGATGCCACACATGGATGCCGAATCAGTGAATTCACGGAGGACGCGTCAGTGCCACCATTGTGAATGAACCAGTGCTGTCGAAAATCGATGGTGTCGACGATCGATCTCCACAACATCGTCCTGACAGACAAACGCAGCACTTGACTGACTCCATGCGTCTATCGCGTATGCCTGTGTGTGGCAGTCGATGGCATGTATATGGAACGGTGGAAATGCGTCGCGAGACACAAGTGTGAAAACGCCAATCCGATGCACGCGCTGGATGTCGTGACAACCAGCGATATTCATTGTGAGCTCAGCCCAGGGTAGAGAACGACATCATTCATCTGAGGGAATGGCTGGAGTGCCCTTGTCTACGTGTCCAGTAAAGGTCGGCACCAAGACACGGACCAAATAGAAAATGTCTGTAAGCCCGACTGTCTCCCCTTTGCGGACAAGTACGGTGGAATCACCCTTGAGACATTAGTGCGCGATGACAGCGCACATTTTGACATTATTTCAGTCATGTGGCAAAAATCATGTCAAAAGATCTCTTCTCGTAAGCATGGTCTCCCGGTCTTTGAGAGGAAGAAAGAAAGAGGAAAAGGAAAAAAGGGACGACGATTCCCCGTAAAACGCCTGGCTCAGAGCCGTGGTTTTTGTGCACTGTTTCCCCGCCTCGTTTGACGATTCAGACTCCAGATAAGATCTTTGGTCGCCCTTTCTTCTGTGAATGCCAATTTCGACTCCCTGTAGATGTTCCCCGGAGCGGAGGCGTCGGTTGTTTGTCTGTTGTGTGCGTTGTCAGCTGTCCAAGTGCAACGAGTTGCCGGGTTCGCGTCGCCTTGGCCTGTTGGCAGAAACCTCGTGGGACAAAGCAGGGCGACTTCTTCGGCGGTGCACCGACAGCCGACACGCCTGGTGGGCTGATGGGAAGATGCAGCCATCTGGCACAAGTGATGTGCACCTCTCTCTTTGTGTGTCTGTGTCCGGTGTGTTCGTCAGTGGTCAGCAGGCGGCAAGTCAGAGGAAGATCAACAGCTGGTACACAGAATCACTCAGGCATCAGGAGGGGACGGCTGATCACCTGGGCCCTGTGTGTGAGTGAGTGCAGGAGACGGTTATCGCCGCTCGCAAGAAACAGTTTGCCGAGGACTTAGCTGTCATTGACAAAAATCTGAAGTGGTTCCAAAACGAACTGGACACGTTCCACATCAACTTTCCGAACCCGTCAAAGGTCGTCCTCACTCAGTATCGGCATCACCTGGAGAAGGAGGTCGCAAGGCGCCAGAAGGAGCGGGAGAAGCTGATCGCCAAACGTAAGTGATCCCGAACTCGACCAAGGCTGGCTGGGCACAGCGGGATTAACGCAGCGTTTCATTGATTTCTGGTTGACCTTTTCGCCATCAGACGAGGAATGGCTGCAGAAGGTCCGAGAGCACGGCCTCCCTCACGGTATGCACACGAAACCGGCTGGCAGCTGGGCAACGGCACGCGAACATTCGTGTCTTTTGTGTGTGTGCGTACGTTTTGCGTGCTTCATCAGCAGAGGAGCCCAAGGACGAGCCAGAAACAGTCGAGTCGCTCCGAAAGAGAGTGCGGGAGTTGGAGGAGACCGTTCGTTCGATGGAGCGGGCCCAGAG